CCGCCCCGACATCAGTCCAAATGGGGAGTGTCTGGAGGCGGCCTTGGGGACGGTTTAGGCAACAGCTAAAACGGTCGCCAATTACTTTTTAAAAACCACTCATTCCATTCTCCCCGTAAGGGAAGAGAAAGGTTGGAAGCGGCGAATTTGGGGCCCTTAAGGGACGGGGATGGGGGACGGCCACGGCGCCTAGCAAGCCGGCTAGCCAGGGAGGGCCTCGGCCCCCGCGCGGAGCGCGCCGCCTCCGCCCATATGGCGGCCGGGCCGGAGGTAATTGGAACAAACGCCGTCTGAAAAGGGCACAAAAGCCGCAGCTGGGGCTTTGTCCGCGCTCCCACGGGGAGCCGCCGGCCCCGCCGCCCGGCCCCTTTCTCGCCCGCTGCCGGCCGCCGACGCCGGGATCTCCCAGCACGGATTAGGAGGGGCTGCCTCCTTGGGATTGGGGGGTCCGCCCCCCCCATTCCGGGGAAAGAGGGGCCCGCGTGTCCAGGCCGTCACCCACTCCAGCAGCCACGCGGGTAGAGGAGGCGGTGGGATTGGTTAGAGGCACACTGGTCCTGGGGGAAACTTTGGTTAATTACCCAGGCGGGGAAAAATTCCGGACTGGTACCGCCCAGCCAGCCTCCCTGCGCCGGGCGGAGATTTTGCGCTCAAGGAGCCAAAGATAGGTGAAGAGAGTTGGTGAGTACAGGCCCCAGGGCAAGTCCACCATCCCACCTGCCTCTGGTGTCTATAGCCCCCCAACCTGGGCCCTGCCATCTCAGTCTCTCCCGAAAAAGCACATCACCACATTTCATCCACAATTTCTGGGGCCCCTGGCCAGGCCAGAAGATCTAACCTCCCAGACCTGCGGATGCACCAAGGCTACTTATAGGGTTCTCTTATTTACCCTTCTGGGTCTGCCTGGGCACCTGGCTCCTGGCCCTCCACATTGCCACCTCTCCCCAAACTGGGCTACTAGCCTCAGCCCCTCCTCCCCCAGGCTGGGTGGCACTGAGCACAGATTCCCCTCAGGCAGAGGCA